AAAATAATCAATAACTGCTTACTTATTTGGCAATACAAACTTTAAATCTCTTAGATCGTTAGATTAATCATTACACAATGTTATTGTCGCATTGTAGCATGCTATGTTATGAGATGTTACTAAGGTTTCTTATATGTCTATACCCTATGGTTGTCAATGGAATACACCTTCCTTGAGCAGATGCTCCAGAGTTTCTTCTTGCACTCTTCATCGTTAGTCATTCCCCTTATTGCAATTTAAATCCCTTGGATTCGCGTACCAATCTCCTCCCTGTTGGTGATTTCCTCGAAGCAACTCCCATCCCCGCGTCGATCGAATTCGCGATGAGTATCCTATGTTATACGGTGGACTACTATGGGAGTCCACCTCTTTCTATCCGATCGCTAACGAAGCCGATACGATACCGCTACGATGCCCACCCCTATTACCCGTGAAGCTTGCCACTCAGCTTCAGCATGAATCGATCGATCAGCCAAGATAACAAAGTAACAGCAAGTCCGCGATCCGACAATTACAAATCACGAAAAGCTGAGATCCGTCTGCAAAGCACGCTTGTGTTCAGCATGAGTACGCTCGAAGAAGCTATTTCCCCCTCTCATATCGGTTCGAACGCTGATCAGATGCTTATGCTTCGAAGAAAAACTCTCACTTCATTCCAAACGAGAAAAACAATCTCGCCGTGCTCGGGATGTTGTTGTTCATGTGCTGTTGGTCGATCGGCAGTTTGGTTCCTCTTACCCAGACCGGCAATGAACGTTGCAACAACAACAACAACAAACACCTGCAAGCCAGTCAAAACGAGAACCGCTCAGTTTCAACAACTCGATCGCCGAACTCCCGTCATTCAAACGACCCGATTCACTAGCTCCTGTTAAAGACAACTCGACCCGAATCGGCCGAACGGGATTGCGATTAGAAAGCTGGCTTCTAAAGTGTCGTTTAAACGACGCGAAGAACAACAACAATAAAGCCCATAAATTCCATCTTCGATTGACTCGTTTGACTGGATATCCACCGTGCTCCTCTTGTTGCCACAGCACTGTTGTTGATTTTCACTTCCTCCAATTCCATCATCTGTTATTTATGGACCTTGACGACGCTCACTTATCTTCAGCATCCTCATCATCAACAACAGCGCCAGCATCAGCATCCTTTTTCATTCCACAAGGCTTCAGACATGCTTTCTTTGAATCTGATTCAGTCATCCCACCATCTGTTCCTCCAACCATGACTGCCACACCATTGACCGCAGTTCAATTCCAGGAGCTCCTCCATCACATTGGGAAAACCAAAGAAAAGACCAACTTACAGAAGCCCTCGGCTTGGAGGTATCAACCACACTGAGCCTGGACAGGATCTGGCTCAGATTGACTTGGAAAGGAACCTCAGAGCAACCTTTGCCTCAGGGGTTTTCATGGAGCCGACCATCTAAAACATCACACTACACTCCAGCCCATTGAATAGGCATGCAAGAAAGGACTGAAGGATTCCCCAGTCTCCTATTCTCTACTTTGACTGAGTCACATGCCTCTGGATCCCATGAGTTAGCCTCTCTCATGCCTTTGAAAGTATGATAACTGAACATGGAATGGAAGAGGTCTTCCAGCTTGTTGTTGGAGATCTCAAAACCAACAACTATTATACAATCAACATGGTTCAACTGCCTCCTGGACAGGTCTCATAGTCTATGATGGAAAAATAGCATCAGGACATCACAGTCAATGGGGTCGGACTCATCGATGTTGGAACTCTGAAGCAACAACCTGTTTGCCAGTATGATTTGACAAAACCTTGCCGCTGGCGGAAAGGCTGTCTAATTCCTGCACTAGAATAAGCCTGCCAATTGTAAAGCTGTAAAGCTGAATTGTAAGCTGTATCCCGTCGCAGCCTCCAGAGGAAGATCGTCTGCACTGATTTTTCTTGGCCTTTTTGATCCGCTTCATTCTTTCCAAGGTTTCTCCCAGAGTTTTATTGTGGCCAATAAGGGGGGCTTCCAGCTTGTAGTCTCCTGCATTGCTCTTGTCTTTCTCAGGTGCAGCCTTGGCATACTTGAAGGTGATGTTTCGAATGGGCATGGCCTTTTTGAGCATCAGATCATTGACAGACTTGACATCCGACAAGTCCATGAGCTTCTTGTTCCTGCCTGCAATCTCAATGCAAGCAACTTTTCTCATGTCAGAGACCCATGGCTTTACGGCCATCCAATAAAACGGCATCTTGGAGATACCCGTAGTAGTGTTATTAGCAACGTGATGAGGAGATTGATGTCATCTCCGGCTGCCAAAGCCAGAATAGATGTAGTCGTGTGTGGGTGGAGGCGGAGCTAAAGGGATGAGTTCATGTGTGGACAATCAAGGGACTAGTAGAGTTCGAATGGCTTCAGCGTTTCCTCCGAAAGGGCGCAAACGAATCCTACTACTAGTATCAACTCTGGGTAGGTGGAGTGTTATTTGATGAGTGTGCGCAGGTTACTGCCAGCAGTTTGGCAACAGTTGTTTGCATCTCTCTTCTCTGCATCTCTCTTCTCTGGATTTCACTTTGCAAAGTAAATTGTGACCATGACGAATGAATCTTTTCCTCGGACCTCGGACCATGAGTCACAAAGCCCATTAATATTTGTGTCAATCTATTGGTAAAGCGTTAATGCATTGGTTCCCTCTGAGTTGGTTCATTTAGACTGTGAGATGGAGAAGAACACGATGTTCCAACAACTTGGTCTTGTCGGGACGAGATGTGATTTAAGAGGGAAAGACCTTGAATCTTCAAGTTCCACCCAGAATGTGGAAGAATGAGGTTCTAGGCCCAGTTGGTATCACTTTTGGTGTTTTTGGTTGCTCCATCCTTATGCAAAGCCAGTGGTGCATGCGAATCAGCCAGGCAGCCCATGCCCCCTTGACTTATGCTGCCAGCATAGCCAGTCCATGCTTGCTCACCACCCCCCTAAATACACAGTCGCGTATTCCCAAGAGATCATCAAAGAACAGCATGTGTCAGTGAAGAACATGCTATTGTGATGTTGCGAATCCTTCTTTTGTTCCTGGAGAAAGGCCTTGGCTAACTTTCCCTCACCACAGCTGCACACAATTTGCAGCTGGCCAAGTTACCCAAAGCCTGATGGATAACATGTACATAGGCAAGCAAAGTTATACCAAACACATGACATACATGTCTTGCTGCACAAGAAGACTCACTGCAGGGTACTGCTGCTGTTTACATGCGCGCATCATGTGATGGTCTCTGCAGCCACAATGTGGTAGCAGCTATGACAGAAGTAATTGACTTGGTGGGAGAAGAAGATTCGCCGCACATGAGGGTGTCCTTTGAGGTTCCTGGCAAGCCACTCCCTGAGAAGAGGATGAGAATGGGCAGGTGGGGTCTTTACCATCCTGGAAGCAAGGAGAAGGCTGCATTCAGAAAGACTGTACAAGAACTAGTTCCTGCCACCCAACATGGAGCCGTGTTTCCTACCGGTACGCCAGTTACAATGGAGGTGCACTTTTGGATGAGGCGACCCAACAGTGACTTCAAAGCCAGCAGGAGATTGATCGGCATTCTGAAGAATTCAGTTCCCTTTGTGAGACCGATTGTTCCTGACATTGACAATCTGCTGAAGTTTGTATTGGACGGGATGAACAGATTGGTGTATCACGATGACAGCCAGGTTGTGAAAATTGTAGTTTTGAAGCTACTCGACAATGAGGGTTCTTGTGAGGGTAGGACTCAGATCGATGTGTATCCCTTTGTTATGCCCTAGTGGACAGCTGAAACCGACAAAGTCGGCGCAGGTATAGACGTATTGAAAATGGACTCCACAAAGTACCCCATCCAGTGTCAATTTGGCCACCCACCAAGGGCATCTTTAGGAGTCTAAAACTAGTCTCTTTTTATGTATTCCATCTCTAGTATTTACTTTGTAGAGGGTCGACAATATTGATCCAAAGTTCAGCTTAGTATCATGGTGGATGTTGGAATTGCGCGAACACCAACAACAGCAGCAGCAGCACCAAATGGGCCCCTTGTACTAGGCATTAAGTGCTTTTTTAGCTCTTATATCCAACCCGGTACTCAAGGCAAACTCCAAAAAAAGTAAAAAAAAAGTGCAAAAAACGGTCCAAAATGGTGAGAATTGAACCCCTTGCCATGGGAAAAGGTCTCACATGCGCCCAGAATTGACCAAATGGACCCAAAAGTCCCAAAAAGATCCAAAATTCGCCACAGATGGCGTTCAATTTCATCGGGGTCCTCAACATACATCCAGACTTGACACTGTTTTGGCGTCGCAGTGGGGTCTCGGGGACTTCCAAGGCTGTCAGTCCCGCACCATGGCATTTACCCCTGGCGTGGGAACACTTTTGCCATGCTCTCCGAGTGGCTTCAGCGTTGCGCAGTCGCTTCATCACATTAGCAAACCTCGTGTCACCTTCAGACTCGTACTTTGCTTGGAGTTCCATTTCATACTCTTGGCGCAACTTGTTAGTTCTCCACTCATCCACCTCCGCTGCAAGAAGTTTCGGCTGC